TTTAAGTTCATAGGGAAGACCGTAGACGCTGTGATCTCCAGGTCCTGTCCCGTGTAACAAAAGAGAAAACAAGACGTAGTTTGGGAGAGGTTACTGTATTTACACAGGAGTAATGGAGCATTGGTTAGTGATATTTGACAATCAGAAGCGTGCATGACACCTTCCGCGAGGGCGGCGTCCGAATTGTGGGAGTGCGGAAGACCTAATAGCGTCTGCAGAGCAGTTTTTGCGAGTCAGCCGCGTGTAAATTATTGGCCAGAGTAGACTGGTGTAAGTAGACACGGGGGCGTATGTATTTACAGTTTTGCGAGCAACACCTTAATTCCTACGACCTTCCCCAGCTTCAGCGCTCCACCAGGAGGAATACATTCTGTAAAGTTATTCGTCGTTGCAGAATGTAATGCTTTTTGCATTCGAAAAAAAATTCTACAATTCGCGTGAGCAGAACCCACCGACTTCATAGTGATGAGCGGTAAAGAACTATCATTGGGTTCCCACAGTGCGGGCCAAGTTAGCCTCACTCCAATAAGGGCACCTAGTTTTAGTAGATGGATTGGGTGGGTCACATCAGGGAACAACTCATTGCGCAGTAATCATTTAAATTAAGAAAATTTCGTACTGCCGCTTAAATTTGTTTAACAGTGCTGAGGTTTAATTATTAGGTTGGTTAAGTGAGTAAGAAATAGGAAAAATGGTGCGAAATAACCAAACAATTTGTTTGAACCATGCTAATTGGCTGAAACTGTAGGGGAACCTGAATAGCATATTACAAGGTTGATCAAAACTGAATCGTCTGCCCCTTTAACCGATGCGACACGAAAAGAATTCCGGCAGCCAACGTAACAGTTTTAAGCAGCCCAAATAATGCCAACCGCTGGAAGCCAGACGGAAATTTATGGGGTGCATAGGTAGGAACCAAAATCTCTCTCACAACGCATCAATTAACACAAATCTAACAAATTCTGTGCTCCCGAAACATTTTATTACATTTTCGAAATTTAGGCAGCGGTTAATATGTAAAATACAATGAAGGGTATGCGATGCCACTGGTAAGAATGGAAGAAGGAGAAGGCAGTCGGAACGGAAAATGGCTTTCACGTAAGGCTGTACGTTTTCTTCTGATTGCATTGTCTCGGATGGCTGGTGTACTTACCGTATACTCTCAAAAATGGGTCTTCTGCAACCCTAACAGACTGTCCTATTCAGTTCCTTTCTTTTGGAAACCCAGTAATCGGAGTTATATAAGAAAAGTGCAAATAGTAGAGAGGGGTTGGAAAGTTAATAAAAAATTATATTACTGCAGATAGTCTGATATGCCTACCGGAGTGTACGCATGAGTAGTTGTCCTGAAGGAAATACTGGCAACTGAGAACTGTAAATATTTGATGTTTGCGGCCAGTAGGTTTTTGGCCTCCCCCCTGTTATGTGCCACTAAGATCGGCTACTGTAGGTAAGCGAGTCCGAGCGTGATTTAAGGGTCGGACTCCCAACAAATCGCCAAAGTGTCCGGATGACCACTAGGGAAGATTTCAAGCAGGTGAGCCTACGCCAGCTTGACCCGCTGTTCGTCCGACAGTTGGTAAGGTGTTTGTCCCTCCTGAATGACGCTTTTAGACTGCCTTCCTGTCCTGCGCAGGTGGACGTGATATATAAACCTTCGTCCACCATGTCTTCCAGACCTTGCGTGTCAACTTCAAGTGCAAGGGCGAAAGTGGGCTCTACATTGCGATAGAAGTTGGATGACTGTTTCTTATTTATTGTAAATGGTATTGTAAGAGTTGCAGAGGAAGTTCACAGGGAAGCAGAGCAACACATCAGCTACCGGAGAGGATACGTTAGATGCCATGTATGCCTATATTGCAAGTGTTATATGAAGTAGTAAGCCAATAGTAAAAGCAATTTCCGATTTATACTGGTCAGTTTAATTCCTAAGTCAGGTACTGGGAACAGATGGTAGTTACAAAGTGAAGTAAGGAGTATTTTGCTTGCCATCTTTAATTTTGTGGTTACTGCTTCCGATTGTATTTATCAGCATGAACGACTCACCCGGTACACGCCATCCACAACGCTCACAACAACGGCAGTTAGGACGGCTGATATTACCTATTTGACCGCAAATCCTTAGGGAGTCTTTAAAAGCTGGCAAAAGAGAGCAAGTCGAAGCGGCTTGACCAGGAGTCTGCTGTGCTGGCTTAGTGGCAAGAGACAAGTATAGCCGGCGGCTATCAGAGCAGCAACGACAACAGAATCCGGCTGGTAAGTCCAATTGCAAATTATTAAAGCACTGCTGGCTTGTAGATCTTACTACTGGACCATCTACGTGTGCGGAACGTATGCAAAATAAACAACTGTTTCGAAGACAAAATTTGTCGCTTCATTAACACCAAAGGCCAGAAAACAAAGCTCTGCCTTTACAAGT